GGATTTAGTTTTCTCCTTCTACCATATTGGTTTGAAGGGTCAAACTCAAGTCATCAGGACTGGTAGCAAGCTCTTTACCTGCTGAGCCTCTCATAGGCTCCAATTGCATTTCTTTCATTGCATGGTCTGATATTAAAGCACCGGTAATGACTTTTTGTAACTGTTGAGATAACTGTGTTCATTCCCTGTGTCTCCACACTGTCTTCCCCATGGAACTGAGTAGATTCTGAGCTGCATACACAAAGGAAATGCCAAGACCTAAGTCTCTGCTCTTCCAGCTCTTCTCAGGACGTGAGGAAGGAGTTTGAGTAAAAGGTGGTCCTGGACTTCCAGTCTAATTCAAAATTTCCCCTTCTCTTTGTTTTTCTTTTCTCCATTAAAAAATATGTAGCTCTCCTCAAAAATATAAGCCCCAAAGATACAGTAAACAGTGAAAGGAAGTCTATGAGACATGAGAAAATGCTCACAAATCTTTAATGATATACCATTGTCATCAAGAGGTGGTGGCACACACCTTTATTCCCAGTACTCAGAAGGCAGAGGTGGGAGGATCTCTGTGAGCTCCAGGACAACCAGGACTGTGCAGAGAAACCCTGTCTCAAAAAAACAAAACAAATATATGTATTTGCCCATTTAATATATCTGGACATGGCAGTTGAGAGGCTGAGGCAGGAGAACAGCCACAAATTCAAGGCTAGTCTGGGCTACATAGTAAATCTCAGGCCTTCCTAGGTTGTGATAGAGACCCTGTCCCAAACACACAGACATAGGATTACTAAAATGTAACAATGTTCAAAACCAACAAACCAAACAAAAACCCTGATTAGAAAGTAAGGGATTTGAATAGTCCTTCACCGAAGAAGTCAGTGGAAAGATTCTCTCCTGGAGACCATCTATATTCCTACATACCTAGCCACTTGAGAGGCAGCACAAGTCTGAGGCCAGCCTGGGCAGCATGGCACTATCCCCCACTACTGCCACCAAAAAAGATTCAGACACAGTTGAGGATGCAGGCATTTTCCTTGCACACACTTGTGATTATAAAATGCTCTATAGAAAGGTTGGCAGTACCCACAAAGTTAAAACAAGAGCCAGGTGTGCTGGCACATGCCTGCAATCCCAACTATGGTAGTTGGAGGCTGTTGGGGGCTACACAGTAAGACCCTCTTAGAAAATACAGAATGAAATAAAAATAAAATTACTGCTCAGCAATCCTACATTTAAACATACATTACTGCGGGTGGAGAGATGGCTCAGTGGTTAAGAGCACTAGTTGCTCTTGCAGAGGACCATATGGTGGTTCACAACTGATAAACTCAGGTCCAGGGGATCCAGTACGCACACATGATACACATACATGCATGCAGGCAAAACATTCATTCATATGAAACAAATCTTCAATAATATTATGTGTTACTGGAGTTTTAGGACCAGAGTCCTGGCCCCAAGTCCCGACGTGCCAGGCTCAAGCACCTGATGTTTCCATCAAAGTTGACAAAGGATGGAACAGAGATTTAATCAACTATGTTTGGATGAACAGTGTGGTAGTATTGTCAGCTCGATGACTTGGGCATGCCTCTAGGTTAATAGAGGTAGGAAGACCCCTTAATTGTGGGCAGCCCCATTTCATGGACTGGTGTCTTGTACTGAATAGTATTCCTAAGTCGCTCGCTCTCCACTTGCTGATCAAGGATATAATGTGACTAATTGCTTCAAGTTCCTGCTGCCATGACTTCCTGTCATCATGGACTCCTCCCCGGAACTATGAGCCCAAATAAGCCTGTTCTTCCTTGAGATGGCAATGCAGGCACATTTGATCACAGCAACAGGAAAAGCAAACAATGGAGACGGATGAAGGAGTTCAGAGGTTCAAAATCCCCATATCCAAGGATAACCTTGAACTCCTCATCCATGTTCACATCTCAGCATCCATAATTAAGCTTGTTGGTTCACATGCGCACACACAAAGACGTGGGAGTAAACGAGGGACTTGATGTGAAGAATGAGAGCCGAAGGAGGGGGAAGGGGACAAAAGAGAGTTATGGTAACTGGGTTTGGTCAAATATATTATAAACATGTATGAAAATAAAATGTAACCAGTATCCATAATTAATACATACTAATGAAAAGAGAATACAGGTATGTGAGTTTAATTAGGGTTGCTCACATGAGCATAAGTGAGGGGTTATTTACAGGAGCATGGGTGGGCAACTTACCAGTTGCTACACCACTGAAGAAAATACTCTTCTCCCCAGCAATCATCAACTGCCCACAGCTCCTCAGGAAAGAGTGGGGCCTCATGAGCCCTTGGCCATGTTCACAATAATGCCAAGACAGGTACTATCTTGAACAGGTCTTGTGTAGCTAATCATAGCTACTAGTGAGTCATGACCTCAATGAGGTGTCAAGCCAGGGAGACAACATTCCACTACACTTCTACCCTTCTGGCTCTTAGATTCTACCACACCCCTCCTGTGATGTTCTCTGAGCCTTGGGAGGAGTGCTATAGATACCCCATTTAGGGCTGAACATTCAAGCCACTTATTCCCAGCACCTTGATGCCACACCAGCGCAGCCTGGATGCCATGTCCAAGCGAAGGAAGGACGTCAGGATCAATGAAACACGCACTCTGGATGTTGCAGAATCAGAAGCCCTTTATTGCACATCACCAAGGTATACCTAACCCAGACAGGTGGGCCAACAGGATGGGGACCTAATCGCAGGATCCTCGGGTTGGGGCCAAGGCAATGTGTACTCAGGGAGCAGGGTTGGTAAACAACTCTGGGAGTAAGGAACTTGTAAGTTTCTCAGAAACCCAGAACAACAAGGGCAAGAGCGGTCACCAACAGGGGAGGTGAGTAGGAAGGCCAGGACTCCATTAGGTCCCAACACCTTGAGTTGTTAGGAGTCTCTGTATAGCCACTGCTACTGCAAAATGAAGCTTCTTTGAGGAAAGCTGAAAGCAGTACTGATCTACGGGTATAAAAGTCAGTATTTGGAAGGCTGTTTGATATTCACAACGCATCTATTCAGCAAAACAGTAGTAGTTTCCCCACTAGGTCACATGACCTCCACAGCCACAAACTAGTAGACCTAGTTTGACAGTGCCGGGCATGGATTCTGTCCTGTGGAGTGGGCCTCAAATCAAATCACAAACGGGTTGGCTACCCACTTAACAACTTGCCACTATTGCAAAAGTAGACACGCCTTGTCTGGGAGGTCCCAGCAAGGCAAGCCTGTTGATGATGTCTTCCGAGCAGCCTGTAGCACCTTCTGGTGCTATGTAAGTTAAGGAACCCAGAGTAAGCTTCCAGCTGAGTTCCAGTTTGACTCATGCATGTGATTTCTCCAGCAATAGGATCTTACCAACTCGATCTGGTGGGCAACCAGCAAGAGAAGCAAGGGCTGGAGAGATGGCTTAGCTGTTAAAAGAACACACTGCACTTCTGGAGGACCCACGCTTGGTTCCCAGCACCCGTGTTTGGTGACTCACACTCTACCTCCAAGGTGTCAGTTGAGGTGTCGCTGGCCTCTGCCGGCACCAGAACTCACATGCACAGCCACAGTTAAAAAAATCAGTCTTGGGGTCAGAGAGATGTTTAGATCACGCACTGCTTTTGCAGAGGACCTGGCTTTGAGACCCAGCACCCACATGGTGATTCACGAATGTCCATTTCCACGGCATCTGATTCCCTTGTATGGTTCTTTGTGGGTATGAGACACACAAAGAACACATAATACCTACAGGCAAAGCACTCATACATAAATAAATCTAAAAATACTAAAACCAAAAAAATCTTAAAAAGTTGTAAATACCAACTATACCAAACTATATGCCAGCAGTAACTTCTGCCAGTTAATTTCTGTATCCACTTCCGGGGTAGGGGGTGGGGTTCCTCTTTGGTGAGTTTTTTGATGTTGCAAAGCCAGAAGTTGAAGATAAACACAAAACAAACCTTACATCCCAATGCTCTATAGTACGCCAATTCCCGTTTGTCTGCCTCAATGCAGTACTACAGTTACTCATTACCTTCCACTTAGAAAATTATGCTCGGGGCTGGAGTCTTGGCTCCACGGTTAATAGTACTGGCAGCTCTTCCAGAGGACCCAGGTTCAATTCCCAGCACTCACACGACAACCCAACAGTGTGTAACTCCAGTCCTGGAGGATCAGGCTCTCTCACACATACATACAGGCAAAACATAAAATAAATTTTTTTTTTTTTTGACAGTCTCTGTAGCTTTGGAGCTGCTCTGGAACTCGCTCTGTAGACCAGGCTGGTCTCGAACTCAGAGCGATCCACCTGCCTCTGTCTCCGGAGTGCTGGGTTTAAAGGCGTGCACCTCTACCTCCCGGCAAAATAAAATAAATCTTAAGAAAAGGCCAGCCTGGTCTAGAAGAACTAGTTCCGGGACAGGAACCAAAAAAGCTAAAGACAGAGAAACTCTGTCTCGAAAAATCCAAAAAAAAAAAAAAAAAAAAAGGAAGGAAGGAAGGAAGGAAGGAAGGAAGGAAGGAAGGATGAAAGAAAAAAGAAAGATAGAAAGATGAGCTTGTCATGGTGGCACATCCCAGCATAAAGGAGGTTGATCAGTAGTAGTTCCAGGTCAACCTTGGCTACATAGAAAGATTTCTTAAAGATGAATAGCAGTTGAGTACCATTCTTTTGAGATCTGTGAAGAACTTTGCTGGGATTTTGATGGGCATTGCATTGAATCAGTAGACTGCTTTTGATAAGANAAAAAAAAAAAAAAAAAAAAAAAAAGGAAAGAAAATCATCCTCGAAGTAGATTTTGTTTTATTGCAAACACTATACAGTCGAACATATAAAAACAAGCTAACAGTAAGAAAATATATTTCGTATTTCTTTAACGCACTTGGGACCCTAAGGTCAAATTCCCCCGGACTGAATTATTGGTTGAAAAGCCCTGACTTCGGAGCAAAGGAGCGAGGCTCGGCCCCGCCCCTAGGCTCAACCAATCAGCGGCGCGCGCGGGAAGGCCGCACAGCCGCGGGCCGAGCGAGTCGATGAGTCGGTGCGGGAGCTGGGCGCGAGCGCACGGCGTCTGAGGTCTGGCGTGTCGCCCTCTTCCGAGTCCAGGCTGGCAGCGGTCGCTGTGGGGAGGCAGGCGGGACGCCCTCAAAGTGAGTGGGTGCGCTCAGGCGTGTCGGGGTGACCCACGGGGCTGCGTGGGAGGTGGTGCGGTGCGGTGCGGCGGCAGGGCCTGGGCCTGTGGCGAGCCCCTGCCCCGCGTTAGGCGGGCAGATAGCGCCCGCCAGTCATCCCCCTGCCTCACCTTCCGTTGCCCTGTGAATGCTGAGCGGCCTAGGGAAGAGCACTCTTGGATCTTGTTATTTCTGAAAACGAGGCAGAACCTGCAACAAAATACTGGCGGCCAGGAAACAAGTATATTCGTTGTAGTTAATGGTGTAAATCTAATTTGAGCCTATGAAGTTAGGAGATGCCGTAAGCCTGTGTGTTTATGACTGGCCTCGAACACAAGCCAGGTTTTCTCCGTGGCACTGAAGTATTTGTGATGTGTGCCCAGACAAGCGATTCGCCGCATCGTCTGGGCACACATTAGAAATAAAAATTCTCAGCCCAGTGAGGTGGTGCACTCGGGAGGTAAAGGCAGGTGGATCTCTGTGAGTTCGAAGCCAGCCTGGTCTACAGAGTGAGCGAGTTCCAGGACAGACAGCCAGCTCTACACGGAGAAACCCTGTTTCCAAAAACCAAAAAGAAAAGTGATAAAAGTGGTATAAACAGACTAGGGCTCGCTAGTAGAATAACACAGGTTCTTTCGATAAACTCATGCAACATACGATGTTTTCGTGGTGTCTTGTTTTTTTTGAGCCAGCCTCTTTATATATAATAGTTCAGGTTGGCCCTAGCTCAGAATCTTAGTTTTTAAAATACGTTCACAGCAGGCTTAGATGCGGCTTTGGAGGAAGTGCAAGATCAGTTCTAAGTTTTGGTTTGGTTTGGTTTTGGTTTTGGTTTTTCGAAACAAGAGTCTCTCTGTGTAGCTTTGGAGCCTGTCCTGGAACTCGCTCTGTAGACCAGTCTGGCCAGGAACTCAGATCACCTGCCTCTGCCTTCCCAGTGCTGGCATTAAAGGCCTGTGCCACCACTGTCCCGCCAAGTTCTAAGTAGTTTTTTTTCCTCAAAGAGTTCTAGTGAAACACTATTAATAAAAACCCAGGAAAAGATAGCAAAATTAAAAAAGAAAAAAAGAAAAACACCCAGAGACAGATAGATATTGAGGATCAACCTGAAGACCAGGAAAGCAAAGCAGCCAGCCACTGGCTTTTACCTCGATCTCAGTCCGACAATGGTGACCCTGCCTCCGGGAAATCTCAGAATGAGACCAAGAACTGTCTTCTCCCATTTTAGAATTCTCTTTAGTTTGGGGATTAAGTGTGTGCACCACTACCACCTGGTTTCTATGGCAAGCTAATGTGGTTACTGGGATTAAAGGTGTGTGTCTTTACTGTCTGGTCTGTAAGGCTGGCAGGTGTGGCTGTTTTGCTTTTCTGATTCTCAGGCAAGACTTATTAAAATACAAATGAAGCCGGGCGGTGGTGGCACGCACCTTTAATCCCAGCACCTGGGAGGCAGAGGCAGAGGCAGGTGGATCTCTGAGTTCGAGGCCAGCCTGGTCTACAAGAGCTAGTTCCAGGACAGGCTCCAAAGCCACAGAGAAACCCTGTCTCGAAAAAAAACCAAAATAAACAAACAAATAAATACAAATGAAATGCCACTATATTAAATTAGTGACCACAGGACTCTGGAAGGAGGCCTTGAATTCCCAGCTGATTGTTTTGTTTTCCTTCACATCCCTCCCCCTCTTTTTTGATTTCCCATCATTCTGCCGTGGTATCTGACCCTCTGGTCCCCCATCATTTGAATCATGCTGTGCTGTAGTCAGGTTAACTCTGCACCTGCTGGTCATTATTGGAGAAAGTGACACGGTTACCAGTGGCCTGACTTTGAGTGACGCGCGTCAGACTTTCAGTCACCTTCCTTTATATAATATCCTCTGCTTTGTAGAGTGGTCTGTTATTTGTGTTTTAATATATAATGCTGCCTGAAGATCAGAGGGCAAAGCAGCCATACAGGCCAGGAAGTGGTGGCACACCCTTTGGTTAAAGGACTCAGGAGACAGAGGCGGAAGGCTCTCTGTGAGTTCAAGGCCACACTGGGCTACACAAGATTGAATCTGTCTAAAGGAGAAACAGAGCTCACACAAAGGTGACCCCAGCACTTGGGATCCCACACCTTTAATCCCAGCACTAGGGAGGTGAAGACAGGGTGATATGGCTGGGTGGAGAGAGAAATATAAGGGGGAAGAGACAGGAACTCAGTGGAGCATGGAGTTTGAGGTTGGTGGAACAGCCCTTTGTTTGCCTGAGCCTTGGTAGAGGTAAGACCTCTCTAGTGGCGTGACTGCTTTGCTTTTCTGATCATCAGGTGAAACCCCCAATATCTGTCTCTGGGTTTTTATTATTCCTGCTATAGCTTATGTTTTCTAAATCTCCTTTACCTCCACCCTCACCTCCCTGTTTATTTGGGAAAGTTTGTCTTCCTTCTCATTTTTTTCTATTAATGAAGTATGGGGTGTTCATGAAAGGGGTACAGGGTACCTTTCCTATGTCCTTGATTGTATAAACTCTCATCTTTTCAGAGTCTCAATTCAGTTTATATGCTCTCACCTACTTCTTAACTCTTTAGAATTAGGTGTCTCCCTATTACTCTTTTTTAGTAAATGGTTAACTCATCCATTGACCTTTTCTCAGGCTTTACTGAATTTCTTTGAAGTGCCAAATATGACTAATGCTTGTTTCTGCCAAGCCCTTTCTTGGTTTCTTTTTCAAAGGAGAGAGTGATTCCCCTTTATTTTATGTTTATGAGCATTTTTGCCCGTATGCATGTCTGTGTACCATGTACATGCTGTGCCCCTGGAACTGGACTTAAAGCCAGTTCTGAGCTGCTATGTCAGTGCTGGGAGTGGAGCTCTGGGTTCTCTGGAAGAGCAGCCAGTGTTTCTAACCCCTGAGCCATCTCTCCATCCCTTTTCTTGCTGTCTTCACTTTGCTTTGTTTTTTTCTTTCTTGTGTATTACTCTAGTTAAGTCTCCACATTCTTCTGCATGTAGTTCTTCTAAGGCTCTATTCTTATTTTTTTTAATATTTATTTATTTATTTGTTATGTATACAATAGTCTGTCTGTGTGTATGTCTGCAGGCCAGAAGAGGGCACCAGACCTCATTACAGATGGTTGTGGGCCCCCACGTGGTTGCCGGGAATTGAACTCAGAACTTTTGGAAGAGCAGGCAATGCTGTTAATCACCGAGCCATCTCTCCAACCCCTTCTTATTTTTTTTTTTTAAGAAATAAAACACATTTTTTCTCTCTCCAGAATGAGATGGTGTTAATATTTAGTTTTTATATTCTCATACATAAAAATATATTTCTGTGTTTGGTTCATTCCTGTGATCATCATACGGAGCCTATGGATTGTAGACTTCCGATCTTTTCTGTCCAAAGAATTCTGTGTTGGTTTTCTAGGACTGGCACAATACTCATAAACTGGGCAGCTGAAGTAACAGACCAGTTTTCTGATGGTTCTGTAGGCCAGGGAGACTGAGAAGAAGGTGTGGCCCGGATGGTGTCTTCAGAGGCCTTTTGGCTTTTGTTGTATGACTTTTTCTGACAAGATTACTTTTTTAAATATTTATTTTATGTATGAGTGCTCAGTCTGCATTTATGCCTGCATGCCAGAAGAGGGCATCAGCTCCCATTATAGACAGATGGTTGTGAGCCACCATGTGTTTGCTGAGAATTGAACTCAGGACCTTTGGAAGAGCAGCCAGTGCTCTAAACTGCTGAGCCATCTCTCCAGCTCCTTGACAAGACTATTTTTATTCATCCCAGATAAAGAGAGCAATGGCAGACAAAAACAATTCCATCCATGTCTAGCTTAGTGACTAGTGAATTTATTGGGGTTACTTATGGCGTATGGGTGGGTGACTGGGGCAGCTGCATCTATAGAAGGACAAGGTACACTATGCCAGCAGTGAGGAGGCCCTTGGAGGAAGTTGTGTTACTGAAGAGCCTCTCCCCCCAGCAATTGTTACCACTTTTGGGGAGAGGCTTCATCACGCTTGTAAGGCTGCCTGGCTGTCTGGAAGAGAATGTTTCAGTGGAGAGGAGGGAGCGTACATGATTATAAATGGCCTGTGCCTTTACACTGTCTTACTATAATTTGTCTGTGTCTAAATTTCTTCATAGGGGATCCAGTTCCACTGTTTTGTTTTTAGACAGGGTCTCACTGTGTAGCTGTCCTGAAATTTACTTTGTAGACGAGGCTGGCCTCAGATTCACAAATTTCCTGCCTCTCCCTGAGTGATGGGATTAAAGGCATTTGCTACTATGCTTCCTTTTAAAAATGTATGTGCATGAGTAAGCCTGCATGTATGTCTGTGTGACACGTGTGTCTAGTGCCTGCAGAGGCTTGAAGATGTTGGATCCCTTGGATGTGGAATTACAGGTGGTTTGAGCTGACACATGGGTGCTAGTATTCAAACCTGGCTCTTCCAAAAGACACCCAGTGCTCTAAGCCATCTGTGCAAGCACCCGCTACCCCAGGGTCTCACATGTAGTCCAGCCTTTGCCTCTCCAGTGCTGGGACTGAATATGCTGCCATGCCTGCTTCTCTTGTCTCATTTTCATCTTAGAAGAAAACTATTTAATGTTTATTATTAAATTTGGTGCTTGCTTGTAGCAGACACTTAGTTAAAACAGTGGAGCACTTTTCCACAGGTGGGGTCGTCCTCACTGCCAAGCGCTTCATCCCCTATCCCACCATTCATCCTTGGCTCACAATTTCTGAAGTGTGTACTTTGCGTTTTCTTGTCGTGCACTACTAGAAGGTTCCCTGTACTTAAAGTTCCACTCACCCTGCCGTTCTTCTGTGACGTCTCCCTGGAGTTTCCTAATCAGATGGGCTTCCTCCGTTCTCTGAACTTTTAGACTCCTTGCTAAGGCTTGAGTCCTCTGCACTTGCTTTCTAGCATTCATTGAGTGATCTGCCAGCCACAAGGCTAGGTGCTGGGCCTTGGGCAGACGGATGGGGAAGTGGGAAG